CGGCTCTGCCAACGTGCCTTCCTGGGACTTGCGCACTTCCTGCCCGGTGCTGGCCACAGCCCAGGGAGCTGCACTTTGCAGGCCTCGAAACTCGGGTCCTGAGGATTTTGGTGGCCCGACTGGTGTCTGCAGAGCAGTGGGATTTGCATGCTTTGTCCCTCGGGCGCCAGGCCTCCAGGTCCCCAAACTCTGTCCAAAACACTGGCGGCGTCCACCTCGCCAGCCGTCCAGCAGCTTGCTCTCAACTTACAACTCACTCTGAAAACAGCTCCCGAACCAGTTCCAAAGAGTCATCTCGCCTGTGGTCGTTTTTTGTTTTATCTCAAAATTTCCTTTTCTCGTTACTTAACAAAATACTCTTGCTGACTTCTCCACAGGTCTGATTATTTCCCAGAAATGGTCATGTTTCTCCTCATGTCAGTGCGGTTTTTACGAAAAGCCCACAGTTAGCTGGGCCATGCGGGAATTCTCCAAATGACTTATATTTTTTTCCTAAGTAGATCGGCCTCATTTTTCAGAGGAACTGGGGAAGAACAGACATCTGCCAGCCTGCTCTCACATCCCTTCTGGAATATAGGACCCTGGCCACTGTGGGAAGGGACCATGGCCCAAGGAGCTCCGTCTTCTCCAGCACACCTCAGCTGAAGTCACAGGACCAGACTGGGGGCGGGGTCGGGGTGGGGGACTCTGGCAGCTGGAGCCGCAGCCAGTCTGGAATTGGTCTTGCTCAGTCCTGCGAGAAGCAGAAAAGCCGTGGCCCAGTGCAGGGCCACATTATGACTTTCATGGGCCCATTCCTCCATAAAAGAAATATTAAAAATTACATTTATGGCTGCAATGGTATAAAGACAAATATAATCCAGTCCAGATTCATTCATATATCTTTATTATTACTATATTCATTTTTTTCCTTCCGATTTTAAAAGCAGTCAAAATTAAAGCATCATGTGGGTCCCTAGAAGCACTGTGAGCTCCAGGCCCAGGGCCAGTGGGCCACGATCACAGCCCGGCACCCAGCCCTCGGGCCGCCCCGCGCTGTACAAGCACCATTCTCTCAGGAACACGGGCTTGGGGAGACAGCCCTGCTGGTCCAGCCCTGCACCCCTTCTCCCTTCACTGAAGAGTCAGAACCCCTTGGCCACAGCCTCCTTGTGACAGGGCTGGTCCCTGAGGCCATGCTCTGCCCCTCAGTTTCTTAAGGACAGCTAGGAATAACAGTAACAACGATGACATCCTGAATCCTGGGTGCTGAGCCCTGTCCAGTACGCTTTTTGTGGGCAAGTCAGTTTTCTCATCTACAGAATGGACATAATGCTAGGGGCTCCCTCACAAGGACACCAGGAGGAGTAAAGATATTAACCCACATGGCAGACTTAGCCTGGTGCCAGCGCATGGTGGCATCTCAGTCAATGCTGGCTATTACGATTAATCATAATCAACTGGTTCATTATAATAATTAATTACAATAATTGGTTCGAGTAGGGGCTGCCCAACTCTACTTTCTCCTCTACCCTAGAAGGTGTTGACCTTGTGCTGAGGACCCCTTGGTGTGAGGTGGTCTGGCAGCATCAGAGCCCAACGCTCTGCCCACAGGGACTCAGTCGATGGGCTCTCCCCTACCCTGCTCACCCACTCCTTCCCCTCCTTTAGGAGCAAACCAGAAGCCCACACCACCTCCTCCAAGCCCCTCACCACCCCTTCTCCTGTGCTCAAGGGGCTCCCAGAGGCCAGCTGCCCGGTCCCCCCGGGCCAGGCAGGTCAGAGGCTTGGTTCTCTCTTGGTATTGGGTTTCTCTGGTCTGTCTTCTCTGAGGCATGAACACAAACTGCCTTTTCTCTACCACTTGCTGCTTGGTCTTATTACATCATCTGGTTGCTACAGACCTCTCAGTTACCGTTTTTCGAGGACTTAAAAGTCTTCTCCCCCGATCCTGGTCACTCCTGTAGCTCAATGCTGGGAAAAAGGGCACACGCTTTGAGGCCAGCAGGAGCCAGGTTTAATCCCAGCTCCACAACTGACCAGCTGTGTGACCCTACGGAAGTCAATTAACCTCCCTGAGCCCTGCATTGTTTACCTGCCTGAACTTACAGAGACAATCTCATTTTCTTTAGCAGTGGGACTCCCTGCTGGAAGGAAACTCTGATGAGCACTTTGAGGCAGGGGAAGAGGCCCCACCCCCACCCTACGGGAGGCCTGCTCGGAGAGCTGGAGATGGTGCCTGGGGCTGACCCCGCCAGCTTTTGTTTGTGACTGGAGTGCGCAGATGAAGGGGGAGGGCCAGATGCTGGGTGGAAGGAAAGGAAAGGAGAGACAAGCCGAGGAGGGGAAGGAGCATGAACACCCCTCAGCACGTCACAGCCCACCTGTTTATCATCTCCCTCCTCCTGTTCTCTTCCCACCTTCCCCATCTTGGGGGTACCACCACTCATCCCATCCCAGGCCAAACGCCAGCTAGGGGACAGCCAGATCAGGAGCTCTGGCCATCTGGACCTCTGAGCCCCTCCTCAGAATAATGTTTTCAGCTGCATAAAATAAAACACAGAAGATTACAGAGGAAACCAGTGATACTGAAATACACTTAGCAAAATAGTCAAACAAAGGTGTGCACAGGAATCTATGTGCTTCTTCATTAGCATATTTGATAATAAGGTCCAGCAGAAGTTCTAATAAGTATTGCACTTTTTTTTTGAAGAAGAATACTGGTCCTGAGCTAACATCCATGCCCATCTTCCTCTACTTTATATGTGGGACGCCTACCACAGCGTGGCTTGATAAGCAGTGCGTAGGTCCGCGCCCAGGACCCAAACTAGAGAAGCCCGGGCTGCCGAAGTGGAGCACGTGAACTTAACCACTGCACCACCGGGCCAGCCCCAGTACTGCACTTCCAAGGGAGAGCACTCCACGGTATCTGCCATCACCGTAGCATATATGAAACTTGGATTACTGTGCGTGAATGTGGCCTCCATCCATACTTGAGGGACATGCTCAATGTCAGGTACAAGCTAGGAGAAACAGAGATGCAGCTTTCCCCTACCAGGCTCAGGGACCCCTTGAATTCTGTGGACTCCCAACTAGGAACCCCTGACCTAGATTCTCTGTTTTCCATACCCCCGCCCCGACCCCACCCACCTCTCCTGATCAGTCCACAGGTCCTGCTGACTTCACCTCCTGGCTGGAGGGTGTGCGTGTCTGCATCCCCCATTTCCATGGCCACTGCACCGGGTCGGGGCCTCATCCTTTCTCACCTCCTGACTGGCCTCCTGACCTCTACTCTTGCTCCACGCCATCCAGCTGCACGTTAAACCCTCATCCAGAAATGCAAACCTGCCCATATCGCCCTTTGCTCTGAATTCTCAGTGGCTCCCTATTGCCTATGTGGTAAACTCTAAAGACAACCGCACGGCACCAAGACGCTCACCCAGCTCGCCAGCCACACTTCTCAAAACTCCCACCCTCCCCACTGTCTGCCTTCCTACCATTGTGAACTACTTGAAGTTTCCAGAGTATGCCACCCCACCAGGCCTTTGCCCATGCTGTTCCCTCCACCTGAACGCCCTCCCCAGGTTGTCCATCAAGCAAATGTTTATATTTTTTCCAAGTCTCGGCTCACATGGTGCCTTGCCCATGCCCCACCCCACCCATGCCCACCCCCTGGGCAAATGTGGTGCCTCTTCTGCCCCACTGCCCCACGCCCACGCCCGGTACACAGAGCTCAACCCACCATGTTATAGTCGTGTGACGAGTCTTTCTCTCCCAGCACTGCAAACCTTTGACGCCCCCAACCCTAGTACAGTGCCTGGTGCCCAGAGGCCTTCAATGAGCGTTGGTTGAGTAAATGAATAAAAGATGAAAAAAAAAGAATAAACAGGCTCTCAGTCCTGAGTAGCTGGGAATGGGGTGAGCAGGAGCCAAAACTGACCCTTCGCTATGAGGATCACTGTTTTCTTTTCTTTTCTTTACCATTATGCCTGCGAATGACAAGTTCCGCATGTTTTGATGTATGGAGCGTGCTGTAATTTCCTGAATTCAGCCCTCTACTCTTTGAGGGATCCCTCTGTTATGTACATATCCTAACTGGGGGGTGATTATTTCCCTTACCAAAAGGTTTATCATTTCCGTTTCCTTAAATAGAGAGTTCTTCCAATGCGTGAAGAATAGGATTCGATTTATAGAAATTTAATTCACATGTGGCTCTTTAGGAACAGATGTCTTCCGCAGCCAAGCCAGCACTGTCTGTCAGGCCGCCTGACGCTGCTGTCTACAGCTCCTTTACTCCCTCTGGCGCACTCCCTGCTTAACCCCTTACCACTGGATCCGTTGAAACTGCTCTGGGCACCTGGCCCCCTGATCCAGCGGCCTTTTCCTGGAGTCCCCCCTCTCCACCTCCCTGAGTCACAGGATGCTGCTGACCACCCCATTCTTCCTAAAACCCTCGAAATCCTTGGCTCTGTGGCCTTTGCCCACAATCTCTGCTCCCCTGGGCTTCCAGACGTGTTTGTTCATCTGGCTTCCTCCTGGGCATCTCAAAGGCAAATGAGCTAAAGCAGGTGAGGGCCCTCGCCCATCAGGCCCCCCTTTGACACCCCTGTGAAAGACACACCCACCCGCCCATGCTCACAGCCACCTCCCACTCCCTTGTGCCACAAATTCAATCCATCACTGGCCGCATGGCACTCACCTCCTGAACACATCTCCAGCTAACCCATCTCTCTTCCACATGTGCTAGGGCCCACGAGCACTGCAGCTGTCTGTTTCTGGTCATTTCTATAATCCCAGTCCTCAGCACCATGCCTGGCATGTGACAGACACTCAGTAAACACGCGCTGAATGATGAAGTGAGCAGACGAATTCCATTTTACAGACTGTACAACTGAGGCTCAGAGAGGAGAAGCGATGGCCCAGTTGGAACAGCCAGGCCCCAGGGCAGCTCCGGCGGCCTTCCTTCTGCTCTAAGCAGGGTGCGTATGGAGTGTTCTGGCCGGGCCTGGGCCCCCGCTTACCTGAAAGCACCGTGAAGACGGCCGCGAAGGCATTGAGCTTGAGCCCGTCGATGACATTGCTGGACTGAAAGAGCTCCAGACACATGAGGCTGAAGCCAACCACCAGCAGGAGGATATAGAGCACCTCGGAGACTACCGACAGCCACAGGACCCCTGCAGGAGAGAGGCAGAGAGGCCGTGAGAGTGAGAGGAGGGACGCACGGCGTGGGCGGGGGCGGGGGCAGGGAGTGGCTCTCCCTGCATGCACCCCACCCTGCCCTTTGGCCGGGGTCACCTCGTCGTTTTATATAAGACCTCAGTTCTAGGGTGGGTCCTGACTGGGAAGATGATCACGGCCGCCCATCCACCTCAGCAGGACCCGCTGTGCAACCTGAGCCTCAGTCAGTTGGAACCTGGCACCCTCGGTTGACGGGTACTGGCCCAGGATGGCCTGCAGCCGTCAAGTGGGCCCACTCAAGTAGGAGGGGAGAACTTGCATCCTGCAGGTAGACAGACGAGAGGCTGTCTTCCTCTTCTCATCCGTTGGATGACCGCTGTTGGAAGCCATCTACGGCCAGGAGGGCCCCTGCCCTGGGATGAAGCTGCTGCTGCAGAGCAGAGCAACGGAGAGACCACATCATGGGCCCAGTAACCAGCCCCGAGGGCGTCCCTGTGGTTCAGCCTGTCAGAGTGATGCTCTCTGTTACCTGCAGCTGTAAGTATAACTCACACACATCATGCTTGCTCTCAAGGGACACCTTTTATCTGTACTGTACCCTACCCCACTTTTTCTAGAAACCACCAGTACTACTCCCACAGCTTCAATCTCGTGGTTCTCCCAGGAGCTGCCATGTTCTGATGTGGTCCTGCCTTCCAGGGCATAGCTGATTGGTCCATTATGATCATGTGACCTAGAATTGGCCAATCAAAGCCCTTCTCTAGTAATCTGAGCTTGGAACCACTGAAGTAGGAGGGAAGAGAGGCTCAGATGAGACTCTGGGCATTCCTACAGTGTGAGTGCCTGGTTCCAGCCATTCCTGAAGGCCAGCTGCTCCCCTGCCCTCTCAGTGGTTTGGCTGTTCAAACCTTCTTTGTATTCCCTAAAAAACTACAGTTCTCTTTTCCCCTAAATTGGTCCAAATTGGGTTACCATCATTTGCCACCTAGTTTAGGAGGCATCTTCTGTTCCTCCCATTCCACATTATCCGCTCTTCTCCCTACATGCTTTTTATTTGGAGAGCCCCTTCCTTCTCTCAGTCTCTGCAGGTCAATTGCAGTTGACTCACATCCTGGCTTCACATTTGGGCACATGACTCATATCTGGCCAGTCAGAGCTCCATGTCCACCCTGACTCTAGTCGTTGGTTCAGGACGGAACCTCTCAATGCCTCAGTTTCTTCACCTATAAAGTGAGGATAACAATAACACCTATCTCATTGTATTGTGCTACGCAGATTCAGTTACACAACAATGTAAAGAGTTTGTGCCTAGCATACATGTGAGCTCAATTCATGGGTATTGTTACAATTGTTGTACAGGAGGAACAGTCTGGGGACTGGAAATGGAGCCCAGGGCTCTTCAGTGAGGTTAAGGCTAGAAGGAGAAATGACATTGTGGGAGCAGATAAGATTTCTGAGAAAAAGGGTAGAGGATGGAACACATCCACCAGACTTACCTTCCAAGCCTCACTACCATACAGTTTGAGCAAGGCCCACACTTTACAGAAGGGACCATGGACCAGGCTAGGCCAGACAAAGATGGACATGACCCAAGTCAGTTCAACCCCAAGTTAGCCATAGGACTTTTGCTGGAACTACTGAGAAAGAAAGTTCTTTTCTTTCCACTGGGTTTGAGACTGGGAAGATGTAAGGATGAAACTGACTGAGTCACAAGTGGCAAAGGTCTTCTTGAGAGCAGAGCCAATGCTAAGGAAGACAGAGCCAAGAGATGGAAGAAGATTGTGTCCTATGGCATTGTTTGAGCCTCTAGATCCAGCCATGCCTGAAGCTGCCAGTTGTTTGTTCTTTCAGTCACTTGAACCAATTAATTCCTTGTCTTTGCCTAAGCCATTTGAGGTAGAATTTCTATCATTTACAACCAATAATCCCCATCTTCAGCCTTTCTGTTCTCTGAAGCTGTCGAACATGTCCTTCCTGCCTCCCTGCCTTTGCACAGTTGTCCCTTCCACCTGGAATGTCCAAGGGGCAGACAACATATATTGTTTAGTAAACAAAGCAAACAGACAGCGGTTTCTGAGTCCTGATCTGTTCCCTGACAAAGAATCCAGATTCTCAAACACCCACTATCATTCCCAGCACAACGGGGCTTTAGAGCTTTGGAGAACTTTTCTTTTTTTCCTTTTTTTTCTTTTGCTACAAAAATATCGCATCTCCTGGGCAATCCCCTGGATTTCTGTAAGAGAATCATGTGCTCCTGGCAGCTTAGATGTTGTTGAAACACCCTCTGGCACCATGCACTCGCAGCCTCCGAGGCCCTGGGCCGGCCGAGGCCCACCAGGCAGCGGGAGGAAGGCAGGAGATGCAGGGTGAGCTGGGCCATGCCAGGAGGGCGGCCGTCCCCCGGGGAGCCTACTCTCCCTCCAAGCAGCCTTCACCTCCAGCTGCTGTTGCCCTCCTGGTGGGCAGAGGCCGCCCCTCACCATGGTGTGGCTCACTGACTCAGCCGACTCGGCCACTCCCCCGGGGGTGCTCTCCTCCTGCCCACGTGGGCCCCGGGTGTGCCCCCCCATCCCACCTCCCCTCACAGCAGGGCCCAGCTCTGCTCTTTCAGAGGGGATGGGAGATGGGTGGGCGTGGGGGGTTGGGATGCTCTGAAGGAAGTTAACCATAAAGAAACAGGCAGGGGGATCTCAGACGCCTGGCTGGGTTATTTATGGTTGTTATTCCCACCAGATTTATTTTCCTACCTTCCCTCCAGGCTCAGAGCATCTATCTCAAATTTTTAGCCGACCCAAGCCAAGGAAATGAATAACAGTAATCAGAAAAAGAATTGTTGTTGTTGTCATGCTAATAGTAGCAAAAATAGTCACAACAAGACCCAACGGTCATCAGGCACTTACCACATGCCAAGTCATACTGGACAACGTTGGCGCCCCACCCAATCTCCGATGCCTCTTTTGAGCGTTTCTGCCTTTGAAGGATTGTTCTTGGGCAATTGGAGTCCATTTTGCCCATCTTCTTTCAGAAAGTGCCTGGAAACTCACATTTCCCTCTGCACTGTCGTCAGCCGGTGGCTGTCCACTGGCCCTGCCCTACAGCTCTGGCTGAGACAAGCCCAGGGTGTGACCGTGCTGCAAAGCCCCAGCAGGGCCCAGACTGAAGCTGCCCTCCCCGGGCCTGGCCTGACATCGTCCCCTGCTTGCCTTCCTCCCTCGCCTGTCCTGCGTCCCCAGTTCCCTAACCACTCTCCCTGGGGCATTTCCTGTCTAAAGGACTGGCACGTGGATCCTCACGGCAGGGTCTGCTTCTAGGGACCCAGACCTCAGACACTAGTCACGTGCATTATCTCCCCTAGTCCTCCGAACACCTTTGCAAGATAGCGATGTAGGACCCATTCTACAGATGAGCAAACTTCCGTTCAGAGGGATTAAGTGACTGGTCTATGCCGCTAGACAGTGGTATGGTCTGGGTTCAGATCCAAGCCTCTCTGACTCCAGGAACCACCACGGGTAAGGAGGCTGTAAGCTGGCAGAATGGAGTGGCCACTTTGAAGTATATCATTCTCCACTCTTAGGCTGGTCACCGGGGACCGTCTGGGTGTGGGGCGTAACGGCTCTCATCTACGTGCTCTCCAGCATCCCAAACAATTCCTGAACCAGGATTCCTGCAAGAGGATGGCCTCTGAGCAGGATAAGGGAGCCATGGTTCTCAGCAATGTCGAGCCCAGCTGGCCACCAGGTGTGGTGGGGAAGGAGGCCACAGCGAAAGGCAGCTGGGTCTTGAGGACACTGGAAGCCAGGCAGGTGCAGGCGCGGTCCTGACAGTCTCAGCAAGGGGAAGGAGTGCCCGGGGGCCCACTGGGGACGGATGTGCAGTGGGGCCTGCTGTACTCCATGCAAGACGATGGCGGCCTGAGCCGTTGCGACGGTGGGATGAGAACAAGCGGGGAACTTGATAATTCCGGAGGGGCGGGCTCGGTAGACTGCTGACCCATGAATGCGGTGGCAAAGGAGAGGGAGGAGTCCAGAGTGCAGCCACGTTTCCAGCTTGGGCAACTGAGCAGACATGACATTCTTCGCTGAGAATGGGACAATGCTAAGGCAGGGAGGCGACAAGGCCTCTCCTGCACATGCAGAGTCTACACCAGCTGCGGGACCTCCAGTGGGGCTGTCCAGGAGGCCGCTGGAGCTCAGACAGAGATGGCAGCATTGGCAAGCCGTAGGCACTCACTAAACATCGGCTGTGATTGTCAGAGATGGCAGCTGAGGCATGGGAGTGGGTGAGATGCCTGTGAAAGCAGGCGGAGCAAAAGAGCCAAGAGAGGGAGGTGGAAGCCAGGGGAAGATCAATACTCAGGGAGGGGCGGGGGAGCAGCTGTGAAAGCGCAGTGACCCCGTGGGGCCCCGCCCACCCCTGCCCTCAGCACCATGGTGCGCTCTGCCCCCTGCCAGCTCCTGCAGCTCTCTGCCCAAGGGCTTGCCTGGTCACCAGAGCCTGTCCCCATCCTTCACCTTCCTTTGGGGCAGCTGGACTGTTGGCCGTTGACACCACCCTGGCCTCCACCCCAGCAGCAGCCCTCAACCAATGCCTGATGTGAGCCGGTGGGTAACACTGGGGGTGCCATCTTCACATCTGTGCTTCCCACTGGGGGAGGTGTTGTTAGACCCCAGCATCAAATTGTCTGATTCAAAGTGTGAACAGCTATTCACTTTTCCACCATTTTTTAAATTCTTATCACTTTAATCAAAAGAGTCTCTGTTTGGTGCTGATGTGTCCTTAACACCTTTCTAACATTTGTTAATTATTTAAAACAAGTGAAGGCTCAGAATCTTCAGCACTTCCTAGGCCGACTGGAAGAACATTCTGACAGGTGCCTTCTGTGCCGGCGATTCTCTATGGCCCCAATCCTGCCCCCTCACCCCAGCCCATTGCTCTCCAGCCTTCTGCCCTGCTCCATGCCCCGGGGATGGGCTCCCCAGAACTGCATGACCAGGCT